AGATTAATGAATCTTCTGAGGACCTGCGGGCCATGCTGCAGAGTAACAAATCCCCCTCATAAATCTGGCACAGCAGGTCCGCCTGCAGGTGTGAGCGCCAGCCATGGCTGCCCTCTGCTGGTCAGTGGAAGGCAAAACAGGAGGCCTGAGCCTCCAACTCAGGCTGTGCTCTCTGAATGTTTGCCCCTCGGAGGCCACCACTTTCCTCGTTTGCCACAGCTCTCCCCCTGCCTCCCGGTCACCCTCATTTTTTTCTTATTTCCTCTCATATCAAAACGGGACATGTTTAAATGTCTGCTTTTCTTTAGTAACTCGACTACTAGTTGTCTTTCTTTTCACCAGTTGTGGAATGATTTCAGTCTTTAGCAAGGTGTGGAGATATGAGAGGGAACAGAGTAGGGGTACCCCATGTACTGACATTCCCGAATTTTGCCAGTTTGCCTTTTGGGAGGCGGCAAGGAGGAGGAGAAGGGAAAGGTCAGATAGGACCACCTGAGGTTTCTTTCCCACCATTCCACATTAGCCTTTTCTCTTGAAGAGAGCACTTTTCTTCTGTAAATATCATACCCTCAAATAGTCTGTGTGAATTACTTGCTGATGTAACTAAATATGGATTTACAATGTGGTCTCCTACAGCTGCTCTATAGATCTGAGCTTTTAATCGTTTTATGCTTAAGCGTGTCATGCATCACAGAGATCCACCATCCAGCTAGGGTATGGAACCCTACCAGGGAGAGAGCGGTGGTGTGGAAAAGTTGGCTTCCTCTCCACTTGGAAAGGCACATTTATGTTACCTCGGCTCTGTGGGAGTCTTAAGAACTGTTGTGAACAAACTCCCCAGTTATGTTATTCGTACTGTCTTTATCTCTCCCGACCCTACCCCAGCTATAACTGAGTTTCTGTGCCTCAGAAGGAGAGTATGAGCCTGGTTTATAAAGGAAAGAGATTATTCTCTCATCTGGTCCTGAAGGGAGGAGGCCATGCTCTGGCAGGAGAAGGAATGGGTGGTCACTTTTCCTCTTCCTGTGTGTGGGTTCTTGGGCTGAGCTTCATGGGAAGGTAGGAGTCTCGTCTGCCTGGGTGCCCCCAGGACTGCACCCTGCCTCGCTGTGAGAGCCACCCAGCACTCTGCTGTCTCCTTGCGTCATGTGCCCCCAGCCCTACCAGCACACCCATTACAATCTGCTCCCACTCTCTGGCTCTGCCTCTGCCATTCTGCTAAGTGATTTTCTCTGAGGTCAGTTCCAGATCAGCAAGTCTGGTCTCCATCCTCATCTCTTGTATCTTCTCCACAGTATCCACCATCTTGGAGCTCTTCTCTACCTCCCGCAACATCTGGCCTGGATTTTCACGGACTTTTCTCTTTCTTCTCAGTATCTTTTGGCACCTTCCTATGTCACCCTTTGCTGCCCCTACAGTTACTGATAATTGTGTAATTGTTCTTCAGGCTCATAGCCTCCGACTCCTTTATTTTTATTTTATTTTAAGGATTAATATAGCTATGAAGCACATGGTCCTTTCCAGAAGAAGACATGTCCTAAGGGGTAC